AATCGTGAACATACGATTCGATAAATTTAAAAATTCGTAATTATGACATTGCTACCTGGTCAATAAACCTACAGTAACGAGTTATGGTTAAATATCATAACTATTTACAAATCTTTACTTAAAAAGTGCAAATTTTCATATTCATGATTCGGATATATGCTTGAATGTACTCTATTAATTTATTTATTAACACTCTGATTTGTATTATAACTTTTTTAATAACTAATATTATCTAAAGAAATTTTGTTGACTATTTAATATGCAATTATCAATAGTTCTCAACTTCTTATTAAAAAATAAAAATTTGGTATTCTTTTCACAGTAACACAGTATCAAAGTTAACATTTCTTCTTTGTATGGTATGCATAAAAACAATTGCCAAGGTGTGGGGGATCTTCACAATGTACAATTGTTCTAATTCAAGAAACATCAATTTATAAAGAATTTATAATGTAGATCTCAATGACGTACAGTGGGCGTAGAAAGTATACGTACACCGAGCAATTTCCAAAAAAACTATGTGTTAGGTTGTCCCAAAAGTTTCTTTCGCTTTATTAATAAGTAATACATGCACAATATTTTATGTTTTATGTTACATTACTGAATTGTGCACGATTCGTTTTGCTCCATTACTGTTATAACATGAATATCTATGAAGTTAGATTGTCTATTTATATAAACACGACCACATAAAATAATTGAGTGCAACTCGCGAAAGAAACTTTCGGAACAACCTAATAAAATTGTAATTTATTAACTAATTTTTTATAAACAATGACATTCTATATATTTCTCGGAAATCTCTAGAATAGATAGATTACAAAAAAAATAGCTATTTGTTTTAAGTTGCGAAATTAACAAGAAAAAAACAATTAATCGATAGATATATTGAAACAATAAGTATTCGTACAACTGTTTAATTTTTAAAACTTGATTAAAAATAAAGAAATTTACATTAATTTATAAGTATATGATACTTCCTTCGTGGGATTTCCTTTTGATTTTATAATTATTGTAACTTTTCTAAGCATTAAATTAACTAAATTATTAGTTATTCGAAGTGGGATCTTTTTCAATTCCTCTATTAGAGCCTTTTTTTAAAAGTACTTTCCTGGAAATTTGATGTTTTCTAATTCGTACGGAGCAATAAACTAATGTGTTTACGTTACAAACTTTATTGTAAATGGTTCGTCATAAGAATCGTACAAACATTTATTGCTCCTATACTTTTATCCACTTTTCGCTTCTTTTTTTTCCTTTTCCTTTTCCTTTTTCTTTCTTTCTTTCTTTCTTTCTTTTTCTTTTTTTCCTTTTTCTTTTTTTCCTTTTTTTTTTTTTTAATTTCACAAATTATATTAACTAGTAAATGTTGTTTGGACTATATCTATCTTAGAGATTTCTGAGAATATGTCAAATATCATTGATTATAAAAAAAATAGTTAAGAAACTACAATTTCACACAAAAGTTTTTTAGGAAATTGATCGCTGTACGAATACATTCTACACTCACTGTATGTCTGCATCATTTGAAGCCAAGGTGCAAACACGAGTCTAAATCTGAATTTCGTTAACTTGTCCGGGTACCGAGTCACCCTTCTTTACGATTCAAGTCACGGCACTGTGGGAGGTTGCCGGCCGGCATCGCCATTTTGGCATTCGTAACCGGAAAGTGTGCGCGCGAGGCCATGCTCTGCAGCTGGCGACCTTTATCTCTCTGCGTTTCACCGTCCGCATAAAAGCTTTCGTCGAATCCGAGAAAGAACACCGCTCCGCCTCGTAACCGAACGCGTTTCTCTTGCATCGTTCTTTCTCAAAAACATCGTGTCCGTTAGAAACGCATTTCGTGGATTATTTTTAGATTTTGGAACGGATTAACACCACCGTACACGGTTGACAAATTATACCCTACGTTACGATATCGCGTTTCACGAACGAGAAATCTGAACGATACGCGTTTCGAAGCAATATTGAATGCACGATATCGAGATTTCTATTTTTCCTCTCGAGAAAACCTAACATGATCAAAGGAAAATTCGCTTTCATATTTCGCAACCGCCCACTGATTCGATTTTCCTTTACACACGAGTCGAAGCAGGGCCGAATTAACGCATGGGCATTGGAACTACAGCTCCGATGGTCTACAACAGCTGGAGGGTCAATAGATTGAGTGAAAATTTTTCATTTATATTGTTTATTTAAAAAAGCGTTAGTGTTGCGTGAAAGAAAGACAGCGCATACACATATATATTTTGCTCATTGGTTGCAACAATGACACGACTCCAAATTTCCTGATTTGTTGGCGTAGAAAAGGCGGCAAATGACGTTTATAACACGTTTATCTCAAATCAGTATCTTATTTTACAAATTTGGCATTCCGATATAGTGTTCTTGCAAAATTATAACGATTCGAAACACTCACACTGGTTCCCGAAAAATTATAATTTTTTAATTATGTCAATGTTGTTACAAATAAATGATACACGCTGACAGAATTTGTAGCCTAGGGGTTTAAAAACTCCTAACCCGGCGCTGAGTTGAGGTCTCAGAATTTACCGACAGGATTCGCGAAAGCTTTTTAAATGAAACGCGGGTGGCGCGCCGATCGAGCTCAACCTTTCTGGAACTGACGGTTTTGCAATTTTAAATGATCCTACCGTTGACCGTTTGGCGAAAGTAGAGGATGAAAACGAAATTCATCCGTCGTTCGAATACGCTAAATAGCCGAATTATCTACGTTCAAACACTTTTCTCGATATCGGAATCGTAGACATGCGGTAAGATTTATTGCTTTTACCATCTACGTTTCGTTGCACCCGTGACAAAAGCTTAACCTAAACGATCGAAAAATTTGCACAAGTTATACGTAGGAGGTTACACGCATCTCCTTCGTTTGTAGAGAACCTCTTCCGAAGAAATGAGTCATCTTTCGTCACGATGAAATATGTAATTTCCTTCTGACTCTCGTCGAATATCGAATATTGGATCTAGAATATCTAGTATCTCCGATCTGAGCATGCCCATCAATTTCACGATCCCGGCCGGTTTTACCGAAAAGAAATTAGAGGCCACCATTTCCATGAGCAGCAGCGACAACGTGCCCGGCAGGCAGCCATGTTAAACGTAGTCGAAAATGGTTCAAGTTCGACCAGGCAAAATTTTCTGCGGTGAATATCGCCACACCCAATGTCGCGCAGGACTGATCAAGCAAAATCGATTTCTTGTAAAATTATCAGTGCAAGAAATCCATTTGCTTCATCGCGTGATAAATTATCCAACCGGCTAGGTAATTTACGGAGATGGATCAACGATGGCCGGTCCTGCGAGCATACTTGGGCGGTGGACGAAAATTTTACGAGAAATATTTCAACGAAGGGAAGGTCGCGACCGATTGATCGGTGACGAATCGAAAATATATTTAGCCGGCTTAGCCTTTCGTACGCTTTCCGGTCTAATCGGCGGCGTAGGTAACACGAGGTACAATCATGCCGGGTCAACACGCGGAACTTTCCAAAGGATTTTGACTACCTGAATGGACAGAAGAATTTCATTTTATTTCGGAAAAGTAAGACGCGCGAATGGCTACGTGGCACCATATTTTTGACGATGAAACCGACCGGCACTCGGCGTTGCTCATAAAACTCGTTTTGAACTTAATTATCGAGAAATGTATTGAAAGGTACGTTCGGATTCTACGAATTCAGTCGATCGTGTAACAAATAATATACTAATATGCATATGTACATACACGCGCACACATACGCATACATATATATGTATATGCACATGCACGTATGTACGTATTAGATATAGAGTCGCGGTAAAGAACTAAGAAAGACATTCGATGGTGTCGACCGACCGCAGCGATCAACAAAGAAAGAAGGCGTAGAGAAGACGAGAAACGCGAAAGGCTATGATGCGATTAGATTTTTTTCATGCGCGTTCAGCGTTCACTTTCTCTCTTGTCGGTCAAATAATAATAATAATGATGGCAATGATAATGGTAATAATAATAAGCCTCCGAAGCGTCAGTCGATCGAGATACAACGATTACTCACTTCGAAGCCTTCGGACTTTGCCCAGAGGTTGCCATCGTGTCCTGCGATCGCAGCTTTGGTAACACACCTAGACGCGAGCAGCTGCTTGTCAACGTAATCCTGCCAGCTCATTTTTTAACACAAGCGGCTCGACCGAACTGTTCACTACAGCACTAGACACAACCCGTCACCGACTGACTCCTCTCACGACTACCTATATGCGCTGAACGCCGGTCACACTTCTCTCTTACCCCTCCTTATCCCTTCGCGGTTATTCGCAGCCCCTCTTGGCTCCTCTTGAGCCACCTCGCCCCGCAAACCCCCCCTCCATCCAGGAATCGTATTCTCCCCACTCTCGATAGCCGGACGGTAATTGACTACCAATCAGTTCTACCAACTTCTAAACATAATAATCGAAATATCGAGTATCTTGGTCGCTATCTATCGAAACACGGTCGATAATTGCGAAAATTCTTTTTCTTTGTATTTTTCATCTTTTAACATGATACTACCTTTTCAGTTATCGGTTCACATTTAATCCTGAAATGTTCAACTCTGCAGAGTCGACTATACGTAGAAGCGAATGATGCATCATATCCGGGTGCTACAACAAAAAAGAAATATTTGGAAGATTGATAATAAAATAAAATTAGTAGGAACTAATAAAATCATCGATGAACTTTTTAGTTCAAAATTTTATTAATTCTCCTAGTGATTTTCGTATCGTAAAAGTACGTTGTGGCGGCCCCTTTTATCAGGGCCGGTGCAAGGCAGGTTCAGTGCGTTCGCCGAAACTCGGCCCTGCGTTTTGAGAGGCCCCCCGATCTACGAAAATTTTGATTAACTTTTTACGGAATGACGATATCATTAACAGATGCAAGACATTTCTCTATATAATGTGTAACAGCATTCGTAACTAAATAATCCCTCGTTGAAAAATTTAAGTGTAGGATTTTAATGTGAATTCAGGCCCCGCAAAAGATCATGCCGGTCCTGCCTTTTATACAGACAAGAATGTATGTACTTTATTTCTTACCATAATAATGCTCCACGTGCTTTTTCATTTGAGTTTTACTTTTTCAAACGATATGAACGACAGATTTGACAAATTTTAAAATTCGTTTATATCTTTAATCACGATGCAAGTTTCTTGCCCAAACGATGTAAAGATCTATAATTTGAGTGCTGGAAAGTCCCTTCCAGAGGTAAAATATTAATTTATTACTTTATTATTTATTTTTAACGTCACTCCAATTTTAATGATTTTGGTCTGTAATTTTTATTTCGTCAGTGGTTATCGGAACGGAAACGGCGAAGCTTAATAAAGAAAAATGTTGGTAAGTGAGGTTGTTTATAGAATATGATTATGTGTGAGCAATCTTTAAGTAATTATAACATTTTTATAGATATACGTCGACGAATTGAACTTATCCAGGACTTTGATATGCCTGGAGTTAGCACTTCTATTAAAGTTTCAAAAGATGGACAATATATTTTTGCAACAGGAATATATAAACCACGTGTAAAATGTTTCGATGTAAAGAATTTGTCTTTAAAATTTGAAAGGTGTTTCGATTCTGAAGTTGTTACTTTTGATATCTTATCAGATGATTACAGTAAGGTACACACATATATGTATATTTATGCTATATATATTTGTTCCAATAGTCAAAACATTTACTAAACTTTTCTTTTATGTTACAGTTGGTATTTTTACACTGTGATCGAACCATTGAATTTCATGTTGCCCATGGCAAATATTACAGGCTCAGAATACCACGTTTTGGAAGAGATATAAAGTATCATTACCCATCTTGTAATCTTTTTATTGTGGGAGATAGGTTTGTTACTTCATACTTTTAACTATAAAAATTATTTAAGGTAACATTAAGATAGAATTTATCTTTAATAGCATGCATTCTATTACAGCAACGAGATTTATAGAATAAACCTTGAGAGAGGACAATTTTTGCAATCTTTTGTAACAGATTCAACATCGATAAATAAATGTGAAATAAATCCTGTACATCATCTTCTCACCACTGGAACTCAAGAAGGAAAGGTTGAAGCATGGGATCCTCGAACAAGGAATAAAGTGGGCACCTTGGACTGTGCTTTGTACTGTGTTGGACAAGACAATAAGTAAGAAAATATATTATAATGTACAATATTCAAATGAGAGTTTTATTTTTCTACGAGAATAGCATTTTTTTTATGTTGTATAGGCTAGAAGCAGTTCCTGCGATTACTAGTTTAAAATTTCAAGGAGGCTTAACACTTGGAGTGGGTACGTCGACTGGACAAGTATTGTTATATGATATTCGTTCTAGCAAACCTTTCTTAGTAAAGGATCACATGTATGGATTACCAATCAAGAACATAGAGTTCCATCAGAAAATGGATATGGTTTATTCTATGGATAGTTCTATTGTGAAAATATGGGAGAGAAATAGTGTATGTAGAATGATAGCATAATCTAGTAACAAATTAAATTCATTAAAATTCATTAAAATTTCATAAAAACGATTTGTTATCCAGGGTAAATTGTACACATCGATAGAAGCTCAAAATGATTTTAACGATATGTGCGTCATACCAAACACTGGAATGTTCGTAATTGCTAACGAAAATACGAAAATGCAAACCTATTACATCCCTAGCCTTGGGCCAGCTCCGTATTGGTGCAGCTTCTTAGACAATTTGACAGAAGAATTAGAAGAATTAAATTATGAAACAATTTATGATGATTATAAATTTGTCACTGAGAAGGAATTAGACGAACTAGGTCTATCGCATCTAAAAGGCACTAAACTTCTTCGAGCCTATATGCACGGGTACTTCATGGATATTCGATTGTATAGAAAAACGAGAGATGTGATGAAACCTTTTGAATTTGAAGAATATAAGAAAAAACGAATTCAGCAAAAAATACAAGAAACCTGCGGCAGTAGAGTACAGGTATTATATTATAGTATCTTGCAATGTATTCTATAGAATGCCATATGTAATGTTTTTTATTTCCACTTGCACATACTTGAAGGTTCAAAAACTACCAAGTGTAAATAAAGAACTTGCGTTTAAATTAATGGACGATGAAACAAATATGAAGAAGAAGAAGAAGAGCTCTTCCAATCTTCTTAAAGACGAACGTTTCAAAGCACTGTTCAGTAATCCAGACTTTCAAGTGGATAAAAACTCGGAAGAGTATTCGTTGCTAAATCCTGTTATTTCTCAGCTTGATAAAAGCAGAGCTAAAAAATTGCAAGCTAAAATAGCTGAAGAAGAGGCGCAACAAAAAATGGAGATTGATCACGAGAACGATGAAAACCAAGGTTGTCGATGTATATAATACTACAGTTGCGTGTAATTATGTGGTAGGCACTCTTAAAGACAAAATATTTTCGTATTTTCAGACAATAGTTCGGATGAAAGTTTCATTCATGACGATAGTAGTTCAGAGGACGAAAAACCATGGGTAAGAGAAGTAAAAAAGCAATATCGATTGATAAAGAAAAATGAAAGACAGAATGAGGTAGAGGATGAGAATGTGAAAGATAATGAACAAAAATTAGGAAATCATTCTCGGCTTTATGAAATCAAGGAACATGTAGAGTTCAGAGATGCAAAACCGGTAGCAAAGAGGCAAAATAAGTACGTGTATATTATTACGTAATCGGATAAAAAGAAATGTCAGTATCGGGCTAATTTACTATAACTTTAATCTCATATTTTTAGGGCTACCTTGGGAGACAGACTAAAAACCCAGGAAGCTCTTGGTGTTAAAGTTTCTGGTTCCCGTGGTAACAGAGAAATGACTTTTGTCGTTGGAAAGGTATTCCTTTTACGAATAGTTATGCGTATCATATGCTGTATAATTTATAAAGAAAAATGTTTCATCTCGTGTATGTAAATATGTCGTATGTAAATATGTCGTATATTTCTATTCGTAGAAAAAACCAACTGGACGCGCAAAATTTCAAGTAAGAAGGCACGGAAAGGACCATAAACATCTTTTAAGACCAGCAGGAAACCTATACAGAAAGAAACGTTAATATTGATTGTTGTATTTAGTTCTTTATTTTAAATATTAAACTATTTTATTTTGTACAGTAAACACTTTTTTATGTTCTTTTCGTTCCATCAGTTTAGAGAACGGTGACCTCCCCTTTCCCAATATCCCATACTAGAAATTGTTGTCTGTAGCATGAGTAAAGTAATTTGTTTCGACGCGATGTACATGTATATCTTGACAGAGGTGAAGTGTCATCTCAAAAGATTGATATAATGAAATTCATACGTTAGGGTGAATCACACGAGATGCCGATACAAATGTTTTCTTTTCAAGTTCAAAAGCACTTCGCTCGTCTGTCGAGAAAAATGACATTGGTGAGTCTTCCGTTATTTCATTTAATCTTCGCTTTCTCAATCGTGTATAATGTTTATCGTGTTACGATCTATGACAGTGCAACTTCTTTCTGTGTAAATGTACAAATATGTTTGTATTGAATTTCAAACTTGGGCAAGTGTAACTGTCGTATTTGAACAAAGAGTCAAGGTGATACTTTTGCTCTTGCCAATCACTGTTTACATTGATTTTGAAGATCTGTTAATCATATTGAACAAAGTGTCAAAAGTTGTGTTGTATTCCAATGGTTTCTTTTCCCTTTTCGTCTCTGATGGAATGTAAAATTCAATTTAATGATAATGTAATAACATAAAATAGTTGTATTATTATATTTTTTTTATAATGTTCTCTTCTTTTCTTCTCTTTTAATCTTTTCTTCATAAAGTTTGTAAACGAAATCAGTATTATATATTTTATGTACTAATGCTAGTGCTATTTTTTACAGGTCAGTTCCAACAATGAATCAAAAAATGGAAAAGATCCTCCTCAGTCAAATCATGAAGAAACAACACAAACATCTACATTATCTGGATTATCAGACCTGCAAATGCAAAGTACAGATGTAAGATGATGTCATTTTTAATGATTTCTTTCTTAGCATAACTAATTACACAATAAGTATAACTTTTAAAATTAGGTTGGGGAAATAACTGAAATGCCAGATTTTGAGATGCTTAGTACATCAGCAGTACTTCATTACTGCAAACATAAAATATTAAGGCCGTATCTGAGATTATTAGGAGTAATGGGTTTGAGACCTATGAGCACCGATGATTCTGATCGTCATCCTTGTTATTGTATTCTCATCAATTTTCATACATTTCAAGTTACAATATTTATGTGTATTGGGTATATTTTACAATACATGGCATGCTTCAGGTAAGATTATCATGCGTTCAGTTTATAATGCAGTTCTTATTTAAGTGAAATGTAATTGCAAGTAAATATAATTATTTCCTCAGAAGGGACAGGGGATTTTGCTATAAGATAACACCATTGGAATTTCAAATTATGCCAAATATAAGTGAGAATCACATGCATGAAATGACATGCTTTGGAAATATTGTATTTAGCTACTTCGTGCCTAGTGTATTGCATTTAGTAGCATATTTATACACTGTGTATTTGTTCCGTATTAAAGAAAATGAGCAGTTACAAAATTTAATGGAGAGAGCATTTCTTCTCTCATCCAATCCTGTAAATCGTGGAAATCAAAGAAAACTTGTACAAATACTATGGTTATTCATAGCATTGAGTGTTGTATGGATAATTATGGCATTAGTTACAGTAAATATTTTAATGGCTCGAGGCAACATCATGTTTCAATGGTTAGAACACAGGTAAGTTTCTTGACACAAGCTTCATACAAATGATTTTATTTGTTACAATGCATAGTATTATTTAATTTGGTTTGTTTTAATCATAAAATTATTATATACGTTCTATATTTCAACATATTTATTTATATTGCATACATTATGTTATTTTGCACTTCTTTCGTATTTATTGTTTGCACAGTCCATATCACATAAAAATAACATTGAAAGTGTTTTTAATCATATGCACATTATGGCACGATATGGTTCAAGGAACAATTATAACCAGTTACTGCTTGCAAGGTCAACTTTTATTGGCACATCTGTGCTTTCTTCGTGGGAAATTACTACATCATACTTTACCTGTCATCGACTGGATGAGGGTTTGTAAAACGACTTATGGGCTATTTTTCCTTTTTACCTTTTAACAAAAATAGCTAAAACCATGTTTTAGGAAATTTGTGAATTCAAAAAACTATTGAAATATTTTAATGATGAACTGGGTCCGGCCGTATGCATCTATACAATTATAAATTTGTCATGGGCTATCACTGGAACGCTTTGGTTGCTTCAATACGATAATAGCGACGGACTAAGTAATCATGTCACTTGGGTCGAAATAGTAAACGTCATTTTGTGGATTTTAATATCGGTAGCCCCGTTTATTCAGGTACGTTTGTCAATTAAATATGTTTAATTAATTTAATACAAATTATAAACCGTAATTAATTTATTGAAATTTTGTGTAATTTTTGTCGATAAATACATGATATATACATATATTGATCGAAATACATAATTCAAGCTCGAACATGTTTTTGTGAATGCGCTTATCATGAGACAGTGCGTCAAGGGGGAAAAAAACATGTTCAAACTGATTATCTTGTTTCCTAATAGGCAGCACGTTTGACTACTGCTTGTTCCATGATTCAAAGTATCGGACACGAAGTGCGCATCCGACCATTTGTTTATCAATGCACGCCGGGCGAGGATCTTGATACTATACTTCTGTACACATCGTCACTGAAAATGTGCGCCAGACTATTTAGAGTACCGATTACGGGAAGATATCTTTGTCTACTACTTACTATCAGCAGCATCTTGATCCTCACGTTAGGACAATGTCACTTTCTGTGATTTTTGTATTACGTTAAATTCAGTTACACAAAACTGTCTCTGTTGTGTACCCTTCATTTTACATGTGTAATTAGTCGACTTTTATTGTATAATAATATTTACGTTCTATTTCATTCTCGGTTCACCCACAACTTATTCAAGTTGTCTGTTATTCGAGAAAAATATATAGCAATGAATCTAGTGCTATATGTACTTATATACATCAAGTTTTCACGAAACTGTAATTGTAAGGAAGTAACCTTATAATAAATGGATATTATTTATTGTTCTTGTTGTTGCATTTATTTTATAAAACTACACCAAATCCTTTCTGATTTTGAAGAAATCTATTAAACAAATAAATGATGCGCATTAATTATCCTTTGTTTGTTCCTTAGTTTGTTCTTTATTCAACGATAGTAAAACTTTAAAAATTATAAATCTTATATCCCTATATCTGAATGTGTATCATTCTATAATACTATTTGCAATAATGTTACTAAAAGCTGCTTAGATTATTCGTATTCACGCATAGTTGGTAGTTAATTAAATTTGTAATTTTCGGTAACAATTCCTTTGAAAGGACTGGAATTAAAATATTTTACAAAGTAAATATAACCGTACAAAAGAAAAACATGTAATACTTATTAAAATTTTTTTAATAAGGATCTAATTTGTTCTGGAAATAAATTGATGAGCGGGTAAAAAATATTGTTATTTTTGAAAATGTAGATATTTGTTTTTCACAAAGTTTTGTTTTAACAACAAAAAGGCATAATACATAGTAAAGCTTTATGTATTCATGACTTCCGAAATTAGCGTATGTATGAGTGCATGTGTATGTCATTAATGCACTATTATTTTAATTCTCAACAGATATTTTGAGTAATCAGCAATTATACAATTATTTATGAATCTAGATATGTCAGATATATGTATGCAATATGTATATTGTTAATTTTGCACTCGATACGTGTAGCTGAATACGATAACTGTCATAAGTTATTATTCCTGTTTCCGTATCTTATAAAAAACCTTCGGGACAAGAGATTTTGGTGATACTCGCAGAGATAATATTATATAAAATTATGGATTTACTGGGATCTATTTTGAATTCAATGGACAAACCTCCAACGATCAGTGATAAGCAAAAGGCAGCAATAAAAAGTTAGTTAAAAGTGTTAACCTATATCACTCATTTTTCGAGGAAGTATTCTAATATTTACGAACAAATTTTTCCCTCGTAGAACAAAAAGAGGTGTATCAGAAGTATCAAAAGGTAGAAGCTGAAAAGTTAAAAGTTTTTCGAGAAAAGGTTTAAACTTTTTATTTGTCACCTTATTTTCATTGAAACAGGTTATATGCCCATTACCGTTCGTTATTATGTTTTAGGTTGAAGGAAAAATTAATAAGTTTCTTCAGGATGATGTTGCAAAAGAGTATAAATTCCCTCCAATGGATCAAATCCATAGAAGTATAATGTACATAAAAAAAATGTCATTTAAATTATATACACGATAATATTTTAAGTATATTTTATATTGTAGACATGATGTTGCTGAAGTGGCAAATGTATGGGCATACTCTTTTGGTGAAGAAGGCGTTGATCGATATATTATGATTTTCAAGAGAGAGTATGCTCCATCAGAAGATCAATTAAATGTGTTACGCAGAGGGGAAGAATGGAACGAAGAAATAGCAAAGAGGCTAGTCGAAGAAAGGGAAAGACAAGCCAAAGAAGAATTAGAAACTGCAAAATCTAGAAAACGAAAAGATAATTTTGTACCAAATAGTTATTACAAGGATAAGTATCAGCACTTAATAGGAAAAGAAGCTGCTCTAGAAGCAGCTAAGAAAACAGAAGCTAATAGTAGTTATGGCTGTGGTAAGTATACGTTACCACTTACCATTTCTTTATCCTAGCAAGATACTTTTGTCATTAATCGTAAGATATGATTTTAGTTCCCAGTGAAAATAAAAAGGATCAAAGAAGTATAGAGCAGACATTGGCGGATATACGAGCAAAGAAAAGGAAATTGGATGGTACTACTGATGCGTCGAATTGTCAAGATAAAAGTACAAAATAGCGAGGCACGTTATAATATTTAATAAGCATTCAATATTGTTTTTAATTCTAGATTATAAATATTTTTTGTTAGACATATGACTATGTACAAGATATGTCGAGCATTATTATAAAGCTGTTCATATTCTTTTGGTTGTAGCAGTTTTCATTTGTTCGACATTAGTATTATTTGTGTACCTGCGATAGAAATGGAAAGGAAATATTACTTTCCCAATTCAGTATATGTATTGATTAAAAAAAAGATAAAATTGACTTATATGTACAATATAATACATCCGTCATATTAGACGGATTGAAACGTTCTACTTTTTCTTGCATTTTCTTGTATACACCTCTATATACAGTACAAAGTATATAATCTGATGCAGTTAAATGTATTCCGTAGTCGAATACTTTGGTATCGAAGTTCTAGGAGCAGGTTTTGGCTTTGTCGGAGACAATGAGTCAAATACGATTTGTTCTTTGAGGGCTAACAATTTTTTGAAGGTTTGATTCGTCGCTGATTTATATAGCTCTAATCCTCGCATAATTATGACATCTCGGACATAGGTTGCATTGTCGTGAACCACCTGTTTCTAAATTCATGGTAGAGAAATAGAAATATTTATTAATGTAAACGACAATGAGATTACGTAGATAGAAAAGAAAGAAGACAAATTTGTTACCTCCTGCTTTAATTTCGGATTTGTAAGCGACAAAATTATATGCTGCACTTGAGTTCGCATTACAGATACTAGAACTCCATCTATCGTAGCCATAAGTTCCGGAGTAGCCACGCTGAGACAGTCCTCTAAGAGACTGACATAAATTTTCGAGAAAGCTAATGTGTTATCGGTCAACGTTATCCAACGGTCGTTTGGTATATAAGATGATGGTACAGTTATTCCAAGATCATCCAGTTCGGATAACAGTTTTTGAACATTTTTGCTAGTTTCTAAATTAGTCGGCCGCCAAGTATCTTCAGCTATATGAACTTTTACAGTATCGACGTACTTTTCACCAGCTTCCTGTATAGCTTTGGCTAACGGAGATCTAAGTTGGCCGTCTAATTGATAACGAAAATCCATTCCTAACTGAGTTAACTGAAAATGAAACGATACTTTAACATTGCATTTGTTACATTTTAGATCAGAGGTTGGTAAACATTGTATAAAAAAGATTAAATAATGTAAATTCGGAATTTTGCGGACCAAGAGACAATATCGAGGAAATTATTTACATAATCATATATAAAATACAAAACAAAATGTACACAATTCATTTATTAATAACATATCGAATATAATTTCAGTTCATAATTACTCTTCATTAGAATTAAATAAGTAAGTTATTTAATCTGTAAAAATGTCATACCTGATCACAATGACTTCGAACGGAGACTATACACTCTACCAAGGTACTCAGGGACACTTGCGGGATAAAAAGTTGTTTAGTCAAATGCGTCGTCAAATGTTTCACTTCTTGACTGCACCAGACGACCAAACCTGAGTATGCACACAGAAAGGAGGCAAGTAAGAGAATATAAATTGATGTTTGTATTGCATAGTGCTCGGTTAAGTTATGCTTAAATTACCAGATGTGCAATTTGTAGATTGTGGAAAAATTTTCAGAAATTCTTTTGCAATTTCCACAATGTTGCTAAAAGCAATTGCACTAAGTTGCTTCGCGTAAGGTGCGATAGCTCCTTCTCTTTTAACTCTTTTCAAACGTGCTTTTAGCACGGCACTGCACAGTCGCAAATACAAATGACATGCTTGAGCGCTTCTATTCAGTTGTATCAAAAGTCTTACTACACGACGCGCGCTTCTTAAACCGCCACCTTGGAGCGACTTTGCTTCCGCGCTTAATTCAAGTTCTTTTGTTAAGACATCAACCAACGACCGTCCTCTATCGTTTACTTTTGACTGAATTTCAAGTAAAAGTGGCGTTGTTTCAGCATCTTTTAAATAAGATTTCGCTCTTTCTAAAAGGCTGTAAGCTTCTTCAAAGTGACGTTGAGCTATGCAAGAATCTAGGTCTTCTGCAACTTCTAGCATCCACTCTGGCGGAGGTTCGTGATATTCCGAATCTTCGTCGTCTATACCTACAAAAGAACGACTGAAAAATTTAATTTAATTTAATTTAATTTAACTTAATTTCAGTCAACAATATGATTTTACAATTGTCAAACATACCCAGGGTATTGGAATCGAGAGACATCGACCGGGAAGGTGCTGTCTTTTCTTCTTTCAACCGTTTATCATTATGTGGTGCCTCGTCGGTCAGATTGTCTTCAGCCAACTTCATTTTCTTTGCTTGTTCGCATTTATCCAGCCATTCTTTCTGCAAGATTAATGTGATGTGGATCTTCTTTTCTCGAATTTTATAAATACTGCTTTTGTAATACACTAACTTTACTTATTGCAGTTGCACACTGGAATACTCTTGTATCAGAAAACACTAGAAGTTTGAATGCCCATTTCACAGTTCCAAGATCTCTAACATTAACAACAGCTAGACTTTCAAGATTATAAACTGCTTGCATTTTAAACTTGGGTGGTCCTCTTCTGTTGCCATTTGCTAACCAAGAGGCAATCAGTAAAACATCGTTAAATAAATACGCGTGAACTCTTTTTAATGGTGTTCCTTCTAACGAATCTAACTCGAGCAAAGAACCTTCATGTAAGCATATACGCCCAGGTGTTTCTGCTAAACTCTGTAAAGCCGAATTAGAAGTTAAAAACATTATCGTTTCTTGTTTCTGGATAAGAGAATCGATATTTAATTAAGTTACCATAGCGCCTTCTACATTTTCTAACAGTTGCATAAGTTTTTGCTTCTGTTCTTCTTCTTTAGAGATAGAATCATTGGTATTTTCCACTTGAGATTCCGATAAGTCTTCGAAAATAACACCTGTAGTCCTAGTGGACCCCAATGTACTCAATAACGAACGCTGTTCACTTAGTAATTGTGACAACTGGTACATTTCACTTTCCAAATGCGAGATTTCTTTGGCAGTTTCTATAAATTGCATATAGTTTTGGTAAACATTACGTTTTAACTGTGCAGATGTATTGTTTGCGAGTTCTTGAATTTTGGATCGTTGTTGCCTTAATTCGTCTGCACCGACACATTGTGCACTGAGCTCCTTCACAACTATAAGAAAATCAAAACTTCATATTTTTTTAAAGCATTATAACTACAAGTGTTCTGTTTGATCGAAAAATCTTACTTACACTTTTCTGGATTAAAATCTTCAGTTGTAAAGACTCTTGCTAAACTATCGGCCATCGTAAAAAAATATTCGCTCCTTGGTGTATCAGAGATTGTTCATTTTACGGATCGACAATGTTATAGCCACCTGGTGGCCACATTAGAAACTGTCAGAAACTGTCGTGCCAGATGTGAACCATTGGGAGTCCTCGGCCGCTACATTCGATTTTCCCCGCCATAGGACACATACAATTGCACAAGCCTTGTATACGTGGACTCAGCAAAACGGACCATAGAGTGCTTCTTGTACCAATTCGTACTGACGTGAAACTCCAGCGTTTTTTAGGTCTTGGTCAGTTTTGCTTTTGTAATTTGTAATGTCTACTAGCGCCGCCTATCTTTTTCCCCGCTAATTGAAAACGTGGATTGAAGGTATTGCATCTGCAACTTGGATTTCCTGCTTTTGAGTACGGATTCAAGGATTATATTATTATTGAATAAGTATGTTTCATTATGATTTCATTGCATTTTGAGAATAAATTTCGATATATGTAATGTATATGTGATGAAATGCATGAATTGTTATGAAATAATCTTTTCTGGTCATATATAAACTTCTTTATGTGCAGATGCGGCATCGTTATGGCTGTTGTTTTATGTATTTGAGGTTGAGCCATTGTACACTCCAACGATGATGTCCAGTCGAATGAGTTTGGTTTTGCGACATTTTTACAAACGATCAATCTGGAATTGCCGGTTCTGTTCGTCAATTTCTAAAGAAGCAAGTAAGTAAAATCAATTCTTTGATAGTCTTTCCGATGTTACAGTGTTTTAATCGAATTTATAGGTTATATTTATTTGTGCTTACCTAGAGTTGGACAAATTTTTT